CAGCTATCCTCACACTAGCACGTCGAGGAAATAAATGCAGCTCCTAATTTTTCAATTTAGCTTCTTTCAGGCGAAGGTATCCACGTGGGGCCAGAACAGATACATTAGTTTAATTTATTATGATTTCAGAAATTAAATCTTCTACTTTTTCTGCACCTGTACATTTCACGGTATAAGAATTCAGAATTTAGACACTCAACTTTTGATGTAAACGATTCATTGAATCTACAAGAAGAATTAATTTCCTTATATATACTAGTTTCTTTTAGACCAGTGGTATTCAACCTTTTTTGTTCGCGTACCCCCAGATATAATTTGTCTTCAACTTTGTACCCCCAAAGTTGTTGGTGTATAATTCAAATTATACATAGTATATAATCTACATCTAAAATAAATTAAACAAATTACCATTCACACACAGAAGAAGGCAATGGCAAACCACTTCTGGATCATCTGCCAAGAACGTATATGAACAGGTCCCAGTACGAGAAAAGGATGGAAGGATCCTGTTCATATGGACCTGTCGTCAGACAGAACACTAAATAAAAATAAATAACCCCCAGATATAATTTCTCTTCAAATTTGTACCCCCAGAGTTGTTGGTGTATAATTCAAGTTATACATAGTATATAATCTACATCTAAAATAAATTAAATAAATTACATTACTGATTATTCAGTGTTTATCATAAAATAATATATATTTCTTAAATTTCACGTACCCCCTAAGATGTCTTCGCGTACCCCAGGTTGAAAACCACTGTTTTAGACGCCCGTTTCTCTACAGAATTTTACAAGATATTCATTGATAAAGCTAGATTCTGTTAACTGTAACCAATATACAAGGAGATAAAATGTGTAGTGTCTGATGAAATTTGGTGATATTATTGTTTATTTGCTCTCTTATTAGTAGACAAATATAATCTTTGAATATGTGCTGTGGAGAAACGAATATTGAAAACAAAATAGTCGATAGATAAATTTACATTTGATACTAGGAGAACAGCCCGCTGCAAACAACGGGACATAATTATGTCAGTATTGGTTTTACAATCTGCGGTCTGCAGATATTTCGTGCAGGACACATACACTTTTGTAATGCTGTATGATTCTACATGGAAAAAAGTATTTAACACGTAATATTTATGGAATTTAAGTAAATAGTACTACACGGCATTTATGTAATTTTAAATGAATAGGTAATAAAAATACAAATAAACAAAAAATTTAAAAAAGTAATTTAATTATACATCTGAATCTGTTTGTCTAGCATTTTAAATAAACTGTAATTAATTTATATAAATTATGCATGAAGGTCCATGACTCGATAAGAAAGAGGTAGTCAGGCCTTAGGCCTCGAGGTGTTGAAGCACCTGGTATAGTCGAAATTGTAAAGTTGTGAGTTTTGTTAATAAACAGGGATTTACCTAGTGCATAGTAACACAGACCTTATTCTAGAACAACTTAATAAGCATTGACTCAGTAAGGAAAAGTCAGGCGAGAGCCTGTTCGCAATTTATTTTACACATCACGTTGATAAAGAAATTTATGTCAAAGAAATAATGATACTGGCCATATCAGTGAT